CTGAACAAAGCAGAGTTGTTTGTACTGAGATATAGCAGTGTATGTAATACATGCTCCTCTCCCCCTTACTACTGGCAACTTCAAGATCTTCTCCGGATAAGAGGTATACTAGGGACAATTTCTAAGTCACGTCTTGTATGGATATGAGAGCCTCTGCAAGCTTATTAGGGATATTTCATCCTCTAAGGGGGTTGTGCGGAAATGTTTGCTCTTATTTATACCAATACCTAGCATTGCAGAAAGCTAATGTTAGGACATAGCTCATTCTGCCTCTCGACCTTACAAGACCTATTGCCAAAAACTCACCAACCCATCTTGGGTATTTTTATTAAAAAGCTGAAACTGATTATATTCTTCCTTTTAATAACCTTTCACAGATCACAGTGATAGACACTACCTTTTAACTTTTTAACCAAAGTCTTTTTAAGAGAAATATAGAGCAGGAAAGCATTTATCAAAAAATGCTGATCCTTGGAGACCTCATAGCAGCCTTACAGCATCAGAAGGGGGCCTACAAGGTTGCCAGAGAGGGATGCTTTATCAGGGACTGTAGCAACAGCACAAGGTTTAAATTTAAACAGGGGAAGTTCAAGTTAGATATAAGGAAGAAGTTCTTTACTGTGAGGGTGGTGAGGCACTGGAACAGACTGCCCAGTTGTTGCTGCTCCATCCCTGGCAGTGTTGAAGGCCAGGTTGGATTAGCCTTTGAGCAACCTGATCTAGTATGAGGCATCCCTGCCCACGGCAGGGAGGTTAGAAGTAGATGATCTTAAGGTCCTTTCCAACACAACCCATTCTGTGATACAAAGAAAACAGAGGAAGAAATCCAAATAGAGCCATGAAAGAGTATTTGTTCCTCTTCTATTCTGTATAAACGTAATGTCATTCAGAAAAAAAAAAAAGATATTCCTCTGGTCCCTCTTCTGCTAACATTTTCAACCTGACTAGATATATACTGTGAGATTTTTTTAATATGGTGCATATTGTTTCTTTATCACACATATCCTTCGTGTCTAGGAAACCAGAAACTCCAGCTATGGAGGAAGTGGGCATGAATCCAACCACTAATCTCAGGGATTTTGATTTGACAGAGAAATGGTGGTATTTCACTCAGAGACACAGGCTTGTCCATCTGCAGCCCATGATAGAGCATCCTCTTCAGGGCTGCAGCCCATGGAGAGAAGCCTTGCTTCACTCAGGTGAGGAGGAGAGAGAAACCCCAAACAGATGCTCCTTCTTGTGTTACAAGTTTGGGGCTCCTCTCCAAGCTTGCCACATGGTAAGCATGGAAGCACACAGGGACCAGTTATTGCTCAGGGTGAGTCTACACCTGCTCTTTCCAATCCATAAAACCTTGTGCCAAGCAGCTGGCTACAAGAAAGTGAGCTGGAGCAAGTCCTGCAGGTGACACTAATCCATCTCACAAATTGTAAGGGTTACAAGAAATCTCCAGGAGAGGACAAGTTATTATTACATTTCTTCTCCTATTGCATAATACTGGGTTTTTGGTAACTAGATTAGTCAGTGATAGATATCTACTTAGATCCTCAGTGACAAAAGGTCAATTAGGGTCATGTTTGCTTTTCCTGTAGAAAATGTTGTTTGCCCTTCTTATTTTGGCAAGCTTAGACCTGCATGGCTTTTCCCCAAATTATTATTGCATCTAGTTCAGTGTTCCAAACTTTCAGGGAGTGTGATCCTCCATTGTCATCTTTGCAGCTCATGTAATTTTTGGAAAAAGGGAAAAACAAAATAGACTGTATTTTGCATGGCTGAGTTTAGTGACTAAAAATGTAAGCCACCAAGAACATAAAACAGGGATAGTTCTGAAATCTTTTATAAATACACTGTAAGAAAATTCTAGGCTCATTCCAAAAGAAGCAACTATTTTCTGCTCAAAACTAATCATCTGACAATTATGTAAAACATATTTCCAAGTAAATTGAAAAACATAAATGCAATTGAAAAAAAAAAAAAAAGAAAAAACAGAAACAACAAAAAAAAAAAAGAAAAGAAAAAAGAAAAAAGATGGAAAGTAGAAGTTGCCAGACTGGCTTCAATATATCCTGTTACTTGTTTAAAAAAACCCATGTGATATCCTCCTATTCTTCCTCTCACTGAAATTCAGACATCAAAAGCAAAGCAAATAGTATAGAAGTTCCATCTAGCAAGGTAAATAGGCTCAGTACTGGTATAGTTAGCACATGGGGGATAAATGCAGTCTGTTGTGCTATTGAAAAAATACAGGTCTATTAGTCTGAACTACCATATAAGAGACCTACAATATTTCCCTTTCTGTAGGGTATAATTAGGAACAAGTTGTAGCATCTGAGGAACTCATACCTTTGGAGAACATGACAACTTTTGAATAAAAAAGAAGGAAGATGTGAAACTTGCTGTGTACCCTTCTTCTCACTGTGGGGAGTTGGACGGGCCCTTTCCTGTCTGGCTGTTTAATTTGCTCATTTATAGAAACCTGCTCTGAGAAGAGGAGAGGAGAGGAGAGTGGTCAGAACAGAAAATGATGACACAGTGATGAAAAATGGCAGATGGGTGAATAGGAAAGCCTCAGGTTGCTCTCTTTCTGACTCGTCACTGTTTGTGGCAGTAGCTGAAAGCAGAAAACCAGTCTGCTATTCTGTTCTGTAAACCACATGGAGGAAAGGCTCTTGAGTTTTGCCATAGAGCTGCCCATCACTCTCTTGTCAAATGAGCATTAGGCCAACAGGCAAAGATACATGAGAAAGATTCATTTTATAATGTAAAGAAAGTGCCTTTTATTTGAACAGGAAGATAATATGCCTCATTTTGTCACAATCTTAGGAGAGTTTTGCTGGAAACAGCTGTCTCTCCTGAACAGCTTGGGTCCGAGGTGATACCTTCGCAAGTCTGTAGACTGTGTAAGATAGGGTCACTATTTGGTTCAGTATGTCCTAAAGGAGAAACCTGATATGAGGTTGGGGTGATTGGTTATGCAACATAACAGAAAGAAAACTGTATTCTCAAACTTATCTGGCTTGCTAGTATTCCTCTCTGAAGTGTCAGATGCACTTAAACCTTCTTAGATTTGGTATAGAGAGCATACAGTTGTGTTTTCATCATGACATTTTGTTCCACCCTTGAGATACATTTTATGTAGGTTCATATTTTCATACTCTGATCTTTTCCTTGATCTTCCACTGAGCAGTGGTTCAGCACGAAGCCACAGTGTGCCTAGGAGTGCTGACTCCCAGCTGCTCATGCCAGGAGTTGGGGCAGAGAATGCCATAGGCACCAGGTATCCTTTCTGAGGAAGCATTGTCTGCCTGGTGTGGCTGAGGGCTAGTGGGCTCTACATCTCATCAGAGATTGGCTACAGCATTGCCAGGAGAGTAGAGATCAGTGACATGCTTGGGTTCCCCCAGCTTCCCCAAAACCCACAAGCAATGAGTTTTGCTACTTTGATTCGTGTCTTCTTGTACAATGTTTGGCAAAATCATCATCAGAATTTGGGAGAGGACACTTCTTGCTGCTTAAGTTGTGCTCTTCATCATTCTGTAGACATTTTTCTAGAATTTGACAAGAATGGAAGTTTCTGGAAAAAAATGCTTTGATTTGCATTTTAACAATTCCCAGTGTTTCATTTTCTTCATGAAGGGATGTTTTAAACATAAATATTTGAGTTATGTGGGGTTTGTATTTGTTTTATTTCTAGTCTGATATATATAATGTGAATATCATATACATACACAAAAAGAATCTTTCTAAAGTATAATACAAGATAATAGTTTGTACTAAAAACAAATGACTAACATTTCAGTTCAAGAACATTTCTTAAAGAGCACACTTCAACATGACTTTCTTCTTTTTTTTCCACAGTAAAATTTTGGGAAAATATGCTAAACCATTTTGTGTTCAGAGAGAAGAGTATTTGCTCAACAGAAAGTGGTTTACTTAAGGTATCTAGCTAGCTCTGTAGCCAACCATGTGTGCATGGTTCAAACATGAGGTAACTAAGCAATGCATTCTCGGCTTTACTTCCCACTGTTGTTTGAACCATTACTGGAACAAGTTCTTGTCTGTTGTAAACCACTGTAGCTTACTTGGTTCTTATGCAATAATGCCAATTTATACCAGATGAGAACATCTGAGCTAACTTCTGCTCATCAAATTATATGCAGCTTGAATTAGTTCAAAATCCATTGCATTCTTACAATGCTGTTGAAACTTTTTATGGTTATCTTTATAAAATATTTCCAAACGTGAGGTGTAAAAAAAAGGCCTAAAAATTTTGAACACATCTGTTCTACGTAGGAAAAGGCAGAAACATTTTCAGGATTATTGGAAATCCTTTGTTAGGATGTTAATCTTGTTAGTGAACGATCAAATCTGGGGGAATATCTAGAGCATCTTAGGGAATTTGCTTGAAATATCCTTCCAGCTAAGTTTTGCAGGTATATGGAGACCTCATAGCAGCCTTCCAGTATCTGAAGGGGGCCTATAGGGATGCTGGGGAGGGACTCTTCATTAGGGACTGGAGTGATAGGACAAGGGGTAATGGGTTAAAACTTAAACAGGGGAAGTTTAAATTGGATATAAGGAGGAAATTCTTTCCTGTTAGGGTGGTGAGGCCCTGGAATAGGTTGCCCAGGGAGGCTGTGAATGCTCCATCCCTGGCAGTGTTGAAGGCGAGGTTGGACGAGGCCTTGGATAATATGTTTAGTGTGAGGTGTCCGTGCCCATGGCAGGGGAGTTGGAACTTGATGGTCTTGAGGTCCTTTCCAACCCTAACTATTCCATGATTTTATGATTTTATTGGCCAGAAAATTTCTGGATTTTAAACACTGGGTCATCTAGAAACATATTTTGAGACCTAATGATCCATGTTACTGTTTACTGTTCTCAAGGAGTTCTGGAGTTAAAGTGTTTTAAGCACTGAATTAAAAGTATACTCATCGCTATAATTTTTTGATAATATAAAATTTCCAAGGTACACTGTAAATTAGTCTATGAAAGTATGCAATTGGAAAAGCTTAATCAACTGATAAAGTAATTTAATGATTAACAAATAGGTAAATGACAGGTAACTAATTGGAGCTGATTTAACACATAATCGCAGCATATCTACAAGACCTTACCCATATCATCAATTTTTTAGCACTTCAACTTTTTTACAAAATTTGCATTGAACTATCATGTAACCTAAAGGATAGAGGGAAACTCAGACTAGTCAAGATTTTTTTCTAAAATGTAATCGATTAGTATGTTTAATTTAAAATTTAAAAATAAGCATTTTTAAAAGATAGTATTTTTAGAAAACTTAAAAACATATTTTGAGAACAAAAGTCCAGTATGTGGAATACAAATGTTAAGTGCTAATTTGGGTCTACATCTTCTGATTGCGCTAAAACCCAATTTTAAATAAATGCAACTCAATTAAACATAAATATTCATCAAAATTAAATTTAGCCTTCTAGAAGAAGTTGCTTAATCATACAAAGACTGTAAGATGCTGAGGTCCTGATCTCAGAGGAGGCTTATGAAGCCCTGCTGTTGTGGAAGAAGCTGCCTACTTGCAGGATAAAATGTGATTAGGTGCTGTACATCCTCAGCCTTCTGTTCTTAGACATGGGGCTTATTCTTTCTCTTTATAAAACCTCTGATGCCTGCAGTGCAGCACAGGGATCACAGTGGGAGAAGCAACTTACAAAAGCAAGCACTTCTAGTCTAAAGAGTATCCTATCACTGCAATCCTATCAATTACTGCATCCTATCACTGTGCAAATGAGCAGATTATGGTCCGGTCTTCATGAGACAAAGACCATTAGCAGAAAAATCCCTTTATTTCTCTTTCATTGGGAAAGAATAACAGTTCAGTTTGCATTGCTCTACATACTTCATAAGTACAAGGACTGAGTCTTGGCTCTGTGAACCATATTACAGAGGAGCTCTTGTTCTCTCCTGTCCATCGCAGGAAAATGTGGCTCTGTTTAGTCTAAGAAACCCCAATTAGAACAATAAATCTTAACTCTGTAAATTATTAGGAGCTTGTTTCAAACACTAACCCTACCCAAATAATCTTAAGTGCTGGAAAGTGCAGATCTGAAACCAGATAGTACAGCCTTTCTTGATGCAAATTTACTCATGAAAACTTTTTGTATTTAGCCACACTCCTAAGCTTATCAGGATCTTTCATGTAATTTCCTAATAATTTCTGTATTATGTGGATTTTATAACATCACATACATGTCATCATTCATTAAAATTTGGAAGCCAGCAAAAGATGCTATAGTGTTGGACTTCGGCATCAGACAGGCAATCTGAGCTTCTTTGGGGTCATTACTTTCAGGTGCTCCCGAAAAAGTGAAGGTTTTTTCTAGAGGCTCGTGTTTGTTACTCTTCTTCTCATCTTCTTGTGGGCTTTCTGCCTCAGTGATGCACTCTGGCTCTTCATATTCTAGCTTGGTTTGCACCACTGCATGATTGGTTTTGTCTATCCATTCCTAGGAAAATGAAAATGTTGATGTTGGCAGGGACTGAGATATCAATCAAAAGAGAAATGGTTGCACAGACACTGATTTTCCTTTAGTTATGGCACCTTTACAAGATAAGCCATAATGAAGAAGATTAAAAGGAATCAATATAGACAAGCAGGATATAATATAGTAGGACACAAGAAAAGCAGACTAGCAGGAAAGCAGACAGGAGTCCACAAATGCATGCAAACTCTTACTTGCTGTTGAGACCACTCTAAATACAACTTCATATTTAATCAGGGCCTTCAAGAAACCTTGAATGTGTTCAACACCTGGCATTTGCTCCTTGGTGGACTCATGCATTCTTTGACCCATGCCTGACTTCATCTAAATTAAGACTGACCTTACATAGAGATTTAGGCAACATAGCATTTCTGTATTAAAACTTCAGTATTAATTTGCATTTTATACTTTCTTCTTCAGTTTCAGTTTAAAGCTATATTATATATAAAAAGTTTCATTTTGCACTGAAAAATTATTACTACTCTCTGATATTGTCATTGGGTTTAAAAATGTAAATATTTGACCTGTCTCTACTTAGAGGAAACTTAATAGTAATTAAGATAAAGGCAGCTAAGATAAAGGCAGCTAGACCGCTCTCCATCATCTTTACCCTAGACCGCTCTCCATCATCTTTACCAAGTCTTGGGAAACAGGAGAGGTGCCTGAGGACTGGAGGAAAGCAAATGTCACTCCTGTCTTCAAAAAGGGCAAGAAGGAGGACCCGGGTAACTATAGACCGGTTAGCCTCACCTCCATTCCTGGGAAAGTGATGGAACACCTTATCCTTGGTGCCATCTTAAGGCATATCAAGGATAAGAGGGTTATGAGGGGCAGTCAACATGGCTTCACCAAGGGGAAGTCATGCTTGACCAATCTCGTAGCCTTTTATGAGGAAATAACACGGTGGATGGATGATGGCAGAGCGGTGGATGTGGTCTACCTTGACTTCAGCAAAGCGTTTGACACGGTCTCCCACAGCATCCTTGCGGCTAAATTGAGGAAGTGTGGTCTGGATGATCGGGTAGTGAGGTGGACTGTGAACTGGCTGAAGGAGAGAAGCCAGAGAGTTGTAGTCTATGGGGCGGAGTCTAGTTGGAGGCCTGTATCTAGTGGAGTGCCTCAAGGGTCGGTACTGGGACCAGTATTATTTAATATATTCATCAACGATTTAGATGAGGGAATTGAGTGTACTATCAGCAAGTTTGCTGATGACACTAAGCTGGGAGGGGTGGCCGACACGCCAGAAGGCTGTGCTGCCATCCAGAGAGACCTGGACAGGCTGGAGGGTTGGGCGGGGAATAACTTGATGAAATATAACAAGGGAAAGTGTAGAGTCCTGCATCTGGGCAGGAACAACCCCAGGTTCCAGTATAGGCTGGGGAACGACCTGTTAGAGAGCAGTGTAGGGGAGAGGGACCTGGGGGTCCTGGTGGACGACAGGGTGACCATGAGCCGACACTGTGCCCTTGTGGCCAAGAAGGCCAATGGCATCCTGGGGTGTATTAGAAGGGGGGTGGTTAGTAGGTCGAGAGAGGTTCTCCTTCCCCTCTACTCAGCCCTGGTGAGACCTCATCTGGAATATTGTGTCCAGTTCTGGGCCCCTCAGTTTAAGAAGGACAGGGACCTGCTGGAGAGAGTCCAGCGCAGGGCAACTAAGATGATTAAGGGAGTGGAGCATCTCCCTTATGAGGAAAGACTGAGGGAGCTGGGTCTCTATAGTTTGGAGAAGAGGAGATTGAGGGGTGACCTTATTAGTGTATATAAATATATAAAGGGGGAGTGTCACGAGGATGGAGCCAGGCTCTTCTCAGTGGCAAACAATGAAAGGACAAGGGGAAATGGGTACAAATTGGAACACAAGAGGTTCCACTTAAACCTGAGAAGAAACTTCTTCTCAGTGAGGGTGACGGAACACTGGAACAGGCTGCCCAGGGAGGTTGTGGAATCTCCTTCTTTGGAGACATTCAAGACCCGCCTGGACACGTTCCTGTGTAACCTTATCTAGGTGTTCCTGCTCCGGCAGGGGGATTGGACTAGATGATCTTTTGAGGTCCCTTCCAATTTCTAACATACTGTGATACTGTGATACTGTGATTTAATACAGAAAAATATATCACATATGCTATGTAATGAACTCAAGAACAGTAAGAAAATGAAAGCAAAAACTGTGGCCCATACATTCGACATCCTTTTTGTGTCTAAAGGTTTAACACCGATACACCTCTGTGGCTAAGAGAGGATGCTGCTTACTCACGCCTCCAAAGGCATGAGTGCCAGTGCTAGTTCAACATCAAGTCTCACAGCACTTCAGAAACATAAAGCAGCACTACACTGATTGTATGAGCTCTGGTATTTGTTCTGTGGATCCTCTTGGTGATATCGCATGAGGGGAAGGGCTTTTCTCTTGGGTCAGAGACTGTGGGTTTTCTTTGCGGAGCAAGTATCAGTAGATACTTCTAAATTATTCTCAACACTGCAGAGATTACAGACTTGCTAGGATGGCAATATTTACCTGGAAGTTTCCATTATGGTCACTGAAGAGATCATCAAATATGTGTTTTGGGTCTGGTACAGAAGGCATGACTGACTTCTGAAGCCTGCAAAGAGGAAAATAAAATACAAATCGACTTTTTGTTGTAGTGTAATCATTCATACAAAAATCTAATTCAGCACATTTCTGTAGCCACAAATGTATTTTATATGACAGTACTTTAAGCTTGGGTTTTTTTCAATGTGTTTTAAAGTGAAAAGCAATTACAACAGTGTGATAAAACTATGAGGCTAAGAGTGACTGTTCTGCTAGATTTCCAGCCAACCCCATCCTAGTAAAATCTGATCTTTATACAAATTTCCAACTAGCTAGTACGAGCAATTCTGCTCCATGCAGTAGTCAGAGCTTTACATTCCCTGGTCCCATTCCCCTAGACATGAACTTGGTGCAGAAGCCAGCTGTATTGGCTGACTTAGTGAACACAAACTCAAATATGAAACAGAATTATAGAGAAAAAAACCCCTCAATTTATGATCTGAAGAGTTTACCGCAGTCCACCATGCTTTCAACTCTGAAGATAGGGAGTTTTTGGTTTTTGGTTTATTTTTCTCTCAGAAAGGCCAAACCTGGAGCCCTTGCAGGGTTCTTTATTATTCGGTTGTTTTTTTGTTTGATTTGGTATTTTTTTTTAAGTGCAGATTCTAAACTTGAACACAGTCATTCAACTGCAAATCCAAATATTGATACAGTCTTATTAAAGTCGAATGCATTGAAGCTTACATCAACCTACAGCAAGCAGACACTGAGTCTCATGAAAGTTATACAAAAGAATGCCAGTTCATAAGAAGTAACCAAATTTATTGCCTTCTCAGAATTTAACAAGATTCTTGAAAAAGAGAAATAATTAAATGGAAGAGACAGAATTTTATCCTGAAACATTGTCTTTCAACAGAGCCGTTCAGTTTTTGAAAATTTAAAGGCTTAGTTTTTGGAAGGCCAATATACATTATCCTTCAAATAGTAATAAAGCTACTGATTTCCACATCTTCATGATGACTTTATCTATCAGATAAGAATTTTGGTGCTAAGAAACTTGATCCTGGATCATAACTCTGTTTTTATGACATGGTTATTTATTAGTAACCAATAAAATTATATTTACCTCTGCCATTTACACAGAAGAATCAAGAGGATAAGCATCACCAGAAGTACTGCCAGCATGCAACTTAACACAATTACTGTGTTTGACTGAGGTTTCATATCATCAGTACATGAACCTAAGAACAATCACAAAAATGTATGTGAAAAAGTTATTTTTTCTTTAACAGTATTTCTAATCATGATACAACATTGACTGTTCTTAAAACAAAACAAAACAGAAATAAAATGTTTTAAGAACAAACAAGATAAGCTGAATGGTTAAATTGAAACTGAAAAGCCACCCTTCCCCAAAACTTGCAAAAGAAGAAAATTGTGTTTTTGTTTAAATTGACCTGGTTCAGGACAAATGAGCAGGCTCACAGGCAAGGAGTAGGTGTATTATGAATGAATTGAATATTTCTCACATCTTCATCACATTCCATTGACAGTGATAAGCAGCTTTGTGCTAAGATCTATATTACGTATACTGACTCACAAGTGAGATTTTACATGTAGCCTGAATGTCTTATTTCCCAAGATAAAGCAAACAAACAAACAACATCTCCCCTATCTATCTCAGCAAACAAAAAGGCAGCAAACCACAAGTGGCAATGCCCAGAAAGTAACTGGTGGCAGGATAACATTTAGCACACAGGTAGATAAAATTAATGGATTTGTACACTTTTCAGCATTCTCATTGTTTATCCTGCAGCTTTTGTAATGCCACCTCAAAATTCTACTTGCTGCTACTGACCTGCTTTCCACATAAATGCTATAAAAACTAAATGGTTATTCATGCAGAAGCAACTGTCCAGCCTGTTCTACCTGCCTGTTTTGGTAAGCTTGCTAGAGAGCCACAAAGAAAGTAAGGTCTTCAGAATCTGTGAAATTTCTTGAATCCAGCTTTGTTCAGAGCTTCATCTGATGCTAGATTGGGGTGAACAATAAGCCATCAAAGTCCTCAAGTGCTTGCCTCAGTGAAGGGGCTCTGCCAATGTCACTTCAGATCCAGGGGCTCCCAGAATGACTAAACAATTAGTCTGCTAGGGGCTTTTATGTGTGCACCCCTCAGAAGGTGCACAGGGAGACATCATCTTCTGATTTCTGGCTTGCAGTTTTCACCACATTGGAAGACATATTTGCAGGTTCACCATTTGCATGGTGAAAGACGTCTCTCTGCAGGTCAGCATTGTGCCTACTACTAGTTCACAGAACATGTGTACTTAAGATTTCATCCCAGCTTGTGTATACAGATTTTCTTCAGCTGAGTAATAGCCCACTGCATCTTTGAGAACACAGACCTGGGTACACTGAACACCTGGTAGTTTTGATAAAGCCTAGTGGGTGGCATTTTGTTCTTAGCTGATATGACATGAATTTGCACCTATGAGCATCAGACTTCCATGACCTCTGGTCCTATAGTTTAACTGGATGTATTTTCAAAACAAACTGACTTCAAACTGGGGCTTCAAGGGCTTTCTTATGGTTCAGGTTTGATATTTACATATCTTATGTGGACACCCAACACACACACCATGCATCACATCTATGTCATTGGTGAACCCTAGACACTATTGTTAACACAGATGATACTCAACTTTGCTGATTATGGCATAAATCGAGTGTGCTATGGGTCGTCAAGATCAAAATGGACATGACTTAAACATGGGCATTTTGACATCTGCATGAACTTTCTTCAATAACAAAAGATGCAACATTAATTTGAAGTATGTTCCCAGCATCCCAGCCTGCAGTCACCCCTTCCCCATTTGTACTTAGACAATATATGAATGTAGCACAGCTGTTACCTAGCAAGGTGCCATTCATCCAAAATGTTTCTGCTTCCCAGTCACTGCTGTAATTAACTACGTTGCAGTAGGGTACTAGCCTCTTCAGTCTGACCCGGAAAGAATAGCATTTTCTTGAATCAAAGCCTTGCTCTTCAACAGTGCAACACTTAGAAGTTCTGGACTGAGAAGGAAGGTGTATCATCATTAATTCTGGTTTTCAAGATGGTGCACATGGTCACAGCTAGGATAAAGGATAGGTCAACCCAAAACCTCAGAATAATTTTTACTCAAGAGTTTTGAGAAATTCTGTTCCTTGTCTGACTCTTCACTATTCATATCCATTCCTTATGGTCTGATACTGAGTTGCAATCCAACAATTATTACTAAGTGCACTGTTACAGTTGCATATTTACAATATGCAAAGACACTTCAATTCATAAAATATTTACAAGTTATATTTAAGAATGGAAAGCTTAAGTCAGTTAAATAATATTTGAAATACTTAACAGCTAATTTCTGAATAAATAAAAATTCCATGTCATCTCTTTTCTTTCATTCTATTTGTTATTTTCTCTACTCTGCATCCTGCTTTTCTTCCAAAAGATCTTCAATTCTGAATGTATAACCTTTCCTTAGATTGTCCTCATCTCTTTGGGTAACAAGATATAACTCAAAAAATAAATTATTTCTGGCAGGACACATATCCAGGCTCTTAAAAATCCAACTGTTTTCTACTACCAGTAATATTTCAAAGTATAGGATTGGAGAACAATTTCAAAACAACTCTATTTTACATTCTCTGGAGATGTTACTTCCCTTCCAATGTTGATTAAAAATGTCATATCCAACTCACTTGCCACTGTTTGTCAAACTTGCTTTTGTATTGAAGCTCAAGTCTCAAGCACTTCACAGCTCTCGCTGGTTTATTACAGCTTACAGTAACGGTGTCATCATTCCAGAAGAAGGTCACATTTTCTGGTCGATTGGGCTTTACTAAGAAGAGAGAAACAAATTTTGCTATAGTCTCTTAAAAAGAAGTATTTTATAGTTAAAATTATTGTTACTCTTTCCTTGTCCTGATGTTTCTAAGTACTAAGTGAACAAGGTGGTCTTTCTTCTTGGAGGACGCATTTTTGTAGCTCACCTGCTTATTAAACATCAAAATGGAATTTGACATGGTGACACAGCTCACAGTTCAAGGTGTCACCATTCAAAGGTAGACACTATTTCATGTCACGAATCTACTGCACATACTTAAGGAAGAGCTATAATCTCCTCATACTCCCTGCAATCCAAGAGGAAGAAAGAGACTTCCTCACTGGAAAAGGACTGACAAATTCAGTACCATAAAATCTACAAGACACAGTTGTGCAGATGCTGGAGGCTATGTAGGATACAGTCTGGCATCTGAAAAAGCACTGGGTGCCTATCTGTGCACAACTGAATATACCCCTCACTATTTTGGATGAGCCAAAATGCATGCAATTTTTTGATCTATGAAGCTTGTAACCTTCAGTAGCAGAAAATAAAAAGGTGAGAAGAATGTTAGCTTTTCTCTCAATCCTTCTAGTTGCTTTTTTGTATTACAAAAATTCTGCCTTCCTAATTTAAAGACTGAAGTGATATTTGTGGTTTGTTACCTAACCCTTCTGAAATTCATTTTCCTATCAGTGCATGTTTAATATACAAAATTTGAGGATCAGGCTGCAGCTTTCCATAATTTGTCAGATATTGGTAAAATTATGAGATCCAAAAACATTCTCAAAGTTAGATACCATGACAGGTTTTTGTTTCATCCCTTTTGCTAAAACATTATTAATAAATGCTAATAATGTACATGGATTTTTTTCCAGATAATGATACATTGTATATTTTCTGGATTATTTTTTCAGATAAAAGTTTTTCCACTATAAATGCTGTAATTACGTGAAATTCCACAAGATTTTGACAAACTAATCTCATGCTAGATGCAAAATATGTATTTGGGGGTGGGAAAAACAGGAACATCATCTCTCTACTAGTAGAAGGATGTCTTTTATTCTGTCAGACTCTAGCACAGTGACTCTTGTTGACATCTGATGGTGGTTTTATGACAGCCTCTTCAATAATAAGTAGTTTGCTGCCTCGCATCACATGGAAGATGAAAAAAAATAAAATTGAAAATATGAGATCACACAGAACTAAAACAAGAAACTATTTAATTTTATTCATTTTCCTTATGGAATACTGAGCAGGCCTGGACTAGAGTCACACCCATATATTTCAGTATTTTCAGTCTGATTTTTAAACTGTGCTTTGGGACAAATCTGACTGTATCATCTCATTTAGCTGCAGCTACATACAGGTCTGAGTAACTACTAGTGACCCCAAGGGATGAAAATCAGTATGAAATAGCTATAGTTTATTTTGCCGCACACACTAAGAATATTTTGTACACCAGTATAACTGATTTCTCCTCAAATTAAGGACAACTAGAGAATCAGTGAAGACACTAGGATTACAAAAGTAGTTGTGATTTATACACTTACTATAAAACTCAGATTTTAGTCTTTTAGAAAAAAGCTCTTCACTTCCATTGTTATTCCTGATAGAGATGGCAAGGGTGGGTCCTTCTGTCTTAAAAAGACATCCAGAATTATAATCTTGATCCAATAAATATGTGGGACATGGTTTCCAAACTTTGTACTTGCTTTCATCAAATCTATGAATGAAATAATATTGGTGAATGGAACACTCTTTCAGTTAACACAAGTTAATTCCTTTTTGTTATTCTTTCTTTTTCTTTTCTTTCTTTTCTTTCTTCTTTTCTTTTTTTTTTTTTCAAATGCTGCTATCAAGGGAAGTCTGCACATGGAGTTTCTTGAAGTAGCAAATTTCATAGTAGTGCGAGGGAATCCATTAGCCAAACCTCATTGACTTTCCAGCCCTGGGTTTCTATGCAGTTTAAAATAATCAAGTTTCCTTCATTTTCTAAAAAAGAGAATGACTTGCTCAAACAGATGCTTTCGTGACCCTGTTTCCAAGACTGTACTGTTAAAAGTTCTTTCACGTATAGTAGCCAGAAAAAAAACTGAAGATCACGCTCTGTGACTATCTTAAACAAAAACATTAAATTTCTATTAGTCATTAAGGTAGTCAGTTAATAAGAAAAATATGCACATATATGAAAAAAACACTTTCAATAGTGTAATTAGCATAAGCATTTAGTACACTGACAGGAGAGGGTCAAATCTTTCATATAGTGTCTGCTGTGACTGGCTATTCAGCAGGCTTATTTACTTGCACACTGCTGTAGCAGGTTGTGAAGATGAACAAGTTTCATACTGGATGATTATCAAATGTTAAAAACATTTTCAGGTACAAATCGCAGAAGAGTCAAATGTACTTAAATATTTCAGCTTACCAAAGTAAATACTTTAAGAAGAGAAGAACAGGTATTACAAATACTCACGTGTAAGAAAATGACACATTCTCTCCAGGAAATAGTTCTCTTGCTGCCCATGTGATCTGCATCTTCTCATTATTGAAGTTGATTATTGTGGTGCTGATCGCATTTTTCCAACCTACCCATGATATTAACAGAGAGTATGATTTCAGATCCTGTTTGAATGAGCATTCCTTGACATTGGTAGGCAATCAGTATTTCAAAGATATGTATGCAATAGACTCAGATGATCATAAAATAAGAAGACATAAGAATAACTAAAATGCAAGGAAAGAGAGTAAAATAACCTAGAGACATTAAAATTAGAATCTCAAAATAGCAAAATGAAAGCACACACAGTTTATTGTGTTTGCATGGCCAAGTTTTGGTAGCAGGGGGTCTACTAGGGTAGCTTCTGTGAGAAGCCACCAGAAGTTTCCCCTGTGTCCAGTACAGCCAACACCAGACAGCTTCAAGATGGTCCTGTCTCTGGCCAAGACTGAGCCCATCAGTGATGGTGGTAGTGCATCTGGGATAACGTATTTAAGAAGGGGGAAAAGAGTTACTGCACAGGAGCAGCTGTACCCGGAGAGAGGAGTTAGAATGAGTGAAACAGCCCTGCAGACACCCAGGTCAGTGCAGAAGGAGGGGAGGAGGTGCTCCAGGTGCCGGAACAGAGATCCTTCCGCAGACCATGATGCAGACCATGGTGCAGACTATGGCAAGGCAGGCTATGCCCTGCAGCCATGGAGGTCCACGGTGGAGCAGATTTCACCTGCAGCCTGTGAAGAGCTCCATGCCACAGCAGGTGGATGCCCAAAAGAGGCTGTGACCGGATGGGAAGCCCGTGCTTTTAGCAGGCTCCTGGAAGGAGCTGTGGCCCCATGGAGAGAAGAGCCCACGATGCAGCAGGCTCCTGGCAGGACTTGTGACCCACGCTGGAGCAGTCTGTTCCTGAAGGACTGCACTCATGGAAGGGACCCACACTGGAGCAGCTTGTAAAGACTCATGTTGGAGAAGTTGATGGGGGACTGTCTCCCATGGGAGGAACTGCACGATGGAGCATGGTAAGAGTGCGAGGAGTCCTTCCCTATGGAGGAAGGTGCATCAGAGATGATGTGTGATGAACTGACCACAACCCCTATTCCCCATCCTCCTGTGCTGCTTGTGGGAAGAAGGGAGGGAATTCGGAATAATAAAGCCCAGGAAGAAGGCAGGAGTGCGAGAAGGTGTTTTAAGGTTTGGTTTTATTTCTCATTACCCTACTCTGAATTGACTGGCAATAGATTAATTTCTCTAAGTCAGGTCCGCTGTGCCCATAGCAGTAATTGAGTCATAGCCAATTAATCCAGGCTAATCTGTCTAATTCAGAACCCTTACCAGGTGAAGGGTGACAACTCAAAACTCTTACTTGGACTTGACACCTGGGCAGCCCCACTGAAAAACACAGCAGTGAGTTTTCTGATTTTTTGGAGGGTGGGCTCCACATGCAGTGTTTGCCCATTGTTCTCCAGCTGTGAGGTTGCAGCAGTTTTCCCAGGATGTGAAAGATCCACTTGCACCAATTTCTAGTGTTAAGTGGTGTGGGGTGGGTTTATATTACAACATTGGTCTCAGGTTGCTCAGTACTGTAGGGCTGCTAGTACCTAAAGTCTGAAGGGAATTGTAAAGAAAACAGGTAACTTTACTGGTGAAGAGTAGGTGCTTGCAGATGTCAAATGTTTAATAAATGTTTGGGAAGATCTTGTAGAATTTACCATGAAAAAGTGCCATAATTGCTCTAAGGTGTTCGGTCAATTTGGTCAAGAGGGCTGTACAGGTACAGAAAAAAAGGAGGAAAAGGAAAAAGGGTATTTATAACCTAGGTAGGCAACACCACTAAAGAGAAGAAAGGAGAGGAAAAGTGTTATTTGAATCCCTCCAGGAGTGAAATACTGCAATGATATGTGAGTTATGATTTATTACTCCAATTTCAGTGTGGTAAAATAATATTGTACTGCTTAGCCCTTCTCCATGAACTTTCTCTTACTGGGCACTATAAATAACTCTTTTTTTTTTTTTTTTTTTGGTAAACTGTATTTATAGGTAAAGTGGTGGAATTAACACAGCACCGGCTCATTAACTGTGAGAGAGAGCACACAGAATTTGCTCATGATTCTATTTATTTTCTTAATACACCTGAGGAAAACAATGGTGCCAATATTTACACCGAGTTTGCTTCTCAGGTGCTGTGTGCTTGGGAAGCTCCTTGAAACTGTGACTATGTATCCCACAACTCTGACACTGACAGCAGAGAAAGTAAAGATTTTGGTAAAGTGATAATCCTCTCTTCCCTCTCTTTATAGGCCAAATTTTGAAGTCCTTTTTCAGGGTGCCATATTTACCCTCAATTCTAGTGCAAAAAGAAGACAAGCATCAAAACCTAGAATCCCACAAAGTTCCTTTAATGGGGTGTTTGATCTCTTCAAACTTGCAATGAGTGTTTGGCTCTAAAGGTGAATAATAAGGAATCCAGAGGGACCACACAGAATTTCCACACACTAAGGAGCAGACATTCCATAAAACCTAAGGGTCTGATCTGACTGGTCTGTTGGAAGGAAACAAAAGTCACAACTGCATTCTGAACCTTGGACAACACTCATTTTTTTTTTTTTCACTCATGGTATGATGGCTTTGTACTACTTCTTAGATGCTGCAATTCAGAGATGCACAGTAGATCCTGGGTTTGGCAATGTATATTTTTTGAATAGCAGGGAAGAATATCAGTTTGGCTCCAGGCCTGCAGTGATGTACTGGTGGACTCTGCACACTATGAGCAGTCCACTTGACTTGAGCAGGATTACTCAGAGCACATCAGCTTAAGAACACATATAAATCTTTCTAGGATCTAGGATTACATAATATGTAAGAGCCTTACATATTATGAATTGAAACTCTGTGATTTTAGCATTTAAATATAAGTTCCAGCAACTGCAGTTATGTACTAAAATGGAAGCTAATCCATTATGAAATACTTTAATAATAAATAGAACCACTTAATAGAAATAAAACAGAAATTGTAATAATCTAAATATATATTCGCTTCTGTGCTCTAGTTTTTAAAAACTTCATATTAAATCAGTTTTTAACAGAATTAACTGTGTAGGACAGAAGAGGCTTTACCAGTCTTTTTAAAGACTGTGTTTCTAGAGCTCTAGTCAAATCAGTTTGCTACTGTGCTTTCTAATTTCATGTTTTGTAGCCGTTTTGAATGTAGTATGAGTTGTGTTTTGTATAAATTTTCAGTAAACATTTTCATGCTTCTTTTCAACTCATAGCGTGTATGTGGTTGCACAATTGACATTTCTACATGGAAAAGTGCATAGCCCAAGTGAGATTTTAAAAGTTTGGATGCAGTTGGCATCAAGTCCTCTGAGGGTATGTAGAGGTTATCTGAAATAGGGTATTTTTTTTCTGATGATCTTTCTTTTGCCTTTAACTGAAAGGTGGTTAGTTTCCTTTCCTTTATTTTTTTCACTTTTTTGAAGCGTCTATACACCTATACTTCTAGAGTCAGGATCATTCATATATTTGCTTAATGGAAGGAGACTGAGAGAAATAAAATTAAGTTTTTATTAATGCACCTTTAACACCATAGATGGTTCCCAGTTAATGTGCCAGCAGCTCCTTAATAATTGTAATTATTTAAAACATTCTTCTATTCATGATCCTATAGCACACAATAGACCAAACTAACACATTCATCATTATTCATTGTCTTATGATAATGGGTAGATGGAAAGGTCAAAAATATTATGAATAGGCAGTCCCTGGCTAATGAGGTGCGGCAGCAACTTTGTGTCTGAGAAATAAAACCTGCAAGTGTGTCTAGGTATGCAGTATGCTGCAGTGTTGTAGCACACATACCAGTACTCTGGAGCATGAGCTTCAGGAAGAATTATCCAAGTCCACATCTTTGGTAAAATCAGACTGGGACTGGAAGGGCTCCACAAAAGATTTTAACCTCACAAGCACTGCTGGGCTCTTCTCCAGACAGACATGTAGAAAATACTACTATGGTGTATGGAGAAAGTACTTTTACAGGGGGAAAAGAAGAAATTTCCTTGAACAAAAATTTATGCAGACACAACCATGAGCAAGAATATGAGCAAGTACATTCCACCTCCAAGCCACTTTTCACAGTTTATTACTGATAAAAAATACTATTGAGGGTGAGCATAGTAAAAAGGTAGAATGTCATGGAACAGAACAAAAAAGAGAAAAAAGAGGGGCAGAATATTAATCTGCAAAGATAACAGAATGGAACATACATGTACTGGAACAGTTGCAACCTCATTGAGCACAACAAAGAAGAAAAACCACTTCTGATTTCCTAACACTAAGGAAACTTGATAAGTAACCACATGTTGAACTTCCACATATCGATGCACACCGTACAGAAACTACTGGAAAGCAAGACCTAGATTTGAGCTTACAGTCTTTGGTTACCCTTAATACTACTGGTCTATCAGAACAGATTCATTTCATTAATAGGAACACATGTAAGTCAAAGAGGAATTCTTTGCACACAAGACTGTTGACTCAAATGCACAGGACAGACTGAATAGAAGACATCTTTTCAAGAAAAGGAACAAGACAGCAAGACAATTTTTTATAGACATTTTGAGACAAGGCATAATCCTTATAGTGTACAACTTTATGTCCTTAAAACCCATCAAACTGAGTGGGGTTTTTTTCAGAGGATCGCTGACCATTGCTAGGTATGACAACACTTTAACAAGCATCAAAACTGTAAGTTTCAACTTTTGTTCCACAAAGTCATGCCACCAGTACAACATGCCTGTAGGTGGTTGCCATCTCAGGACAGCAAAGAGTCATGTCCTGTCACAAGAAAGCCAGTGACTCACAAGGGCAATTAACACTGGAAAATCAGGTGGTGTTTCATTGCCAGAAACAGTATTTACTGTATGTAGAGCAGAACAGAGAGCTGATTATAGGTTGATAAGATGAGGGCTTAACTTTAAAGTACTTCTTTCTCTTCATAAAATGAATGACAGGGAATTTGTAGAAAATTAACATGAGTGAATATTAGATTATCGGTCTATGTGTTGGGCTTTATGATTTCTGTAATAATCCATTTATCTTTGGCAAACTGTAAATAATGGCATTGCAGACCAGCATATGAAATATTTTGGGGTTTAATGTTTTTATTAATTTAGTGTTCAATTATTTTTTTGTCTTGATGCTTTTTAAGTGCAATATATTGCTGGATATTTTGCCAGTGTGTTAATTCTTCCAGAATACTAAGCACTGAAGTCTTACCTGGAATCTGTCTTACCCATCTTTGTTCAATGTGAAGGCTAGTCTTTTTTTGACAGTCTATTTTGTTATAACCTATGCCTTCAACAGTAAGCAGTCTTACTTAAAGAACAGACACAAGTTAAGCATGTTCTGCCCTGATTTTTAATTAGAAACTTCATAGAAATCTGTCATTATCATCATTGTTATTGGGATTTTTTAAGAATCTACTTTCGTCTATCTCTGCTGGATATCGACTTCTGTTTAGTGGATTCTTTTCATCAAATAAATTACTTAATATTGTAACATATGAGGTAAAGTATGCACAGAAATATTTTTAACTAATATATCAATTTCTTAAATAAATATCTGGGGATTTAAACTTACCAGGAGATTGTGACTGAGAAGCCACCAGGTTGCCCAGTGTGAAGAGCATTGTACATGCTTGAAAGATGAGTCTCATGGTTGGAATTACACAACAGGTGATGAAGAGATGAGTAATTGTAATCTCTGGACTTTACTATTTGATTACTTTATACCAGAGGCTGCAGGGAACTAGAGGAAATGACTGCAGGAAATAAAACAATGACATATCTCTAGCTATAAACAAATCAGCAGGGCAGGACTTTGGAATGCACACCTTTTACATATTACGTTAAAAAAAGCAATTTCTCAGAATATGAGGATCTCTCTTGTCAGCACCTTGCTTTATCTTTTCACAGCTGTGTCAGTGGTGGCAGGAGCCCTGATCCAATTGAGGACCAGGTCGCTGTATATAGCTGTGATCACATAATTTCATGGATGAAGCACTGACCTCAAAGTGCCCAGTGACTAAGGGTAGGAGAGGTACAAACAGCCTGCCTCCCCACTTACAGATCAGGAGTTGCTCCTTCTAGCAGGTGTTTATACTGCCACTCCACATGCCTAGTGCACTTCAGCTGGCTTGAGCGACTTCTTCCCCTAAATCAGAGGTAGAAGTTGAAGATCTTTTTGTGACAGAGAGAGGTGAGCTGCTAGGGGTAGGCAGGCTGTTACATAAGAAGAAGCACTAGGATGAATTTACTCCTATGTTACCTGGACGTATATATGTTGATGTAGTTTCCAAATATATCCATACGCATAATATTCTTTATATATATATATAAAAGTACATATATATGGCTTGGCTTAGCTTCGCTAGCAAAGATTTGGGAAGGCCTTTAGCCATGCTTACTACAAGCACGATGACGAAGGGCATGTGGGATAGACAAATCTGGTTGGAAAAAAGCTGCTTAGGCAATCAGGAAGTGTCTGACAGGGACTGGCAGCTCCTGGGGCAATATACATATACACACACACTATACCTATACCTTATACGCCCATATACTTAAAATTATACATAGGAAGTGGGAAATAGAACAATGTTTTGCCTGAGATGAAACCTATTTCAGAACCAGCAGAACTTAAAATCTTGTAATAGTCAAAGTTATCATTTCTAAAGAGACCTAGAATCTGTAGGTCTGCAGCAAACTAGGCTATGCTAGCAGTACAGCAAGCAGGAGCAGTAGAACAGTGTGGCAAAGCAGTTGGTGCAGCAGACTCAAGAGCCATGCAGTGCCCATGGGGACAGTGGGGTGTCTTCCCTAGACTAGCACCAGTCCAGCCCCATGAGCTGAATGCCTGTTAGCAGTCAGAGTCTGCTAGATGCCCTCCTGGATCACATCTTCTAGTCTAGGCTCACCCAAGAGGAATCCAGGGCTCCACTGTGTGAGCAGAAGCATGGGGATGATTTGGAGATTCACTTCACAAGGATGGTCCTAATCTGACTTAAGTCAGTGTGGCCCTAGCCTGCTGTTCTTATCCAGCAGGATTTCAGGAAGATAGTCCTGAGTGACAAAGCACTCTCTTCTCTGGGCTTAATAGCTTCTTCCTTCACATCCTGGTAAAGGTATGCGGTTTACTTTTCTATGGATACATGAAACAGGCAAGCGGACCACCTCCCTTCAATTCAATTCTCCCTTCATTATACATCACACAAAACAAGCTGCTCCATGAAATCGAGAGGCAAAAATATAAATGGTAGACCTCAATACCTATCTCCATTTCCTAGGTGGCCTCAAGGTTTTTCTGTGCTGGCATCAGAAAAAATACAGGAGCCTTCTTCTTATGCAGAGTCATGCTTGGGCAGATGAATGACTCAGTCATGCTGCATGCAAAGTGGCCTTTGTGTGCAAAGGCACACACACAGTCCTGCCTTCTGGAGACCTCATCTCCTGCGCTACTTTTTGCCTCCAGTTTCTCAGATGGAGAGAGCAGAATTTTGCCACACATGGTACTAGGTAGGGAGCTGGATTATGGCTGGAAATACACCCAGATGTGCTGCCATGATTTCTGTTTAGGCTGATTTTCATTCCTCTCAGAGCCTCCCCTAACATGTTCACTGGCATTTTAACCCAACAGTACTGTTTGCCAGATGAGACCAGTATCAGCTCTGTCACATCATCAAAGCCTCCAAACAGGTGTTGTGATCTGGCTGTTTACTTTTCTTGAGCTGGCTACTTTCGTTGCCTTATCCATTGCATATCCCAGGAAGACCTTGTATTCAAATCTCAGTGACTCTTGGAAACCCCAGCATAACTATCTGACACACATACAGTAGCTGTTAAGCCCCTGCTTTGATCGAGTTCCTGGGGGGGGGGGGGGGCATTAATTCCTGGAACTAAAATAACAAACACCACAGAACTGAAATACTCAACTAGGTTGCAGGAGATAGTTAATGAAAAGCTGAAATAGCTCACTGTTTCCATAGTCAGCATTGCAGAAGCCAGTGAGATAAACAAATGTAGACAGACCTCTAAAGTATTCTGGTTCCCCAGGACATGGTAACTCCCACATGTCCCCATTTGAGTTAAAAATACAGAACATGTGTCTTGCCTTTCCTTCCAGAACCTGTATCTTGAGTGTGGTGGAACTAAATTTGTCCTGGTCTGTTTTTCTTACAGGTAAAACATCCTGGACTGCAGACCTCGAGTTCATTCTTTGGGGAAAAAGGGTGTGGGGAGACAACAGGCAAAGAAAAGATATCTAAAATACCTTCTGGTTTATAATTGTTCATATTTTGAAACACTGCATATAAAACAAGGCCTAATTCTCAAGTGAAAAAAGTGCATTTTTACTGACCATTTCTCCCTACCAGGCATTTTGGTACCTTAAGTAATTGTCCCTCCCACCAATCTCTACTTCATTTTAAGATACTCAGGGCCTCTTAAAATAAAAAAGAATTACCCTTTTTACTACTTTTGAAACAAAACCTAGGGCTGAGGTCCTCGGGAATCAAAAACAACTGGATAAAACAAACCGCTTGCATAAAGCTGATGTACTATTGAGATATTTTTTCATTTGAGGTCTTTTTCTGTCTGCCTGCCTACAGGAATGTAAATGATTAATTTGCCCACAACCTCTGGGTCATTGCTTCCATGAGGACAAGGACAGAGCATTGTCACAATGTGCGCTCTCTTCAGGGCTCACACGTGGTGGAGTATTGGCATGTTTGGCCTGAGAAAATAAGATCCATCTTAATATTGCAATTTTGTGCAGCAACAGGGAATGCAAAGAGTGAAGGTGAGTTGAATACCTGGAGCACTGTGTTCAGCTCCGGGGCTGCAAGAGTGATATGGACTTACTCAAGTGAGTCCAGAGGAAGTCATGAAGATGATCACGGGGCTGGAGCACCTCTCCAGTGAAGACAGGCTGAGAGAGTTGGTGCTGTTCAGCCTTGAGAAGAGAAGGCTACAGGGAGACCTTATAGCAGCCCTTCAGTACATAAAGGGGGTCTACAAGAAACCTAGAGAGGGGCTTCTTACAAGTACATGTAGTCACAGGACAAGAGGGAATGGCTTTAAAGTGAAGAAGAGTAGATTTAGATTAGACATTAGGAAGAAGTTCTTCACTGTGAGGGTGGTGAGACACTGCACAGGTTGCCCAGAGAAGCTGTGGCTGCCCCATCCCTGGCAGTATTCAAGGCCAGGATGGATGGGGCTTTGAGCAACCTGCTCTAGTGGAAGGTGTCCCTTCCCATGGCAGGGGGGTTGGAACTGGATGATATGTAAGATCCTTTTCAACCCAAACCATTCTGTAATTCTATGAAAATTAGCAGCCAAGGCTTGCAGTTTTGACTGCCAGTAGAGAATACTCTCAATGTAATATGCAGAGGATGAAGACAATGCAAGCAAAGCATGTAAATCTAAATAAGCTCTTTTGATTTCTTTTGCACTTTGGATCAAACCACACAAACAACCCTTGGTCCTCTGCCAACTCCTCCACCCATGACAGCAGCTCTCAGAGGTGGCTTCACATGCCAGCTGCAAACCCTTGCACCCTTACTGACTTATCTTCCTTCCTCTCTTTTTATTCCCCTTCCTATTATTTCATCAGCAGTGTAAAATAGGTCTTTGATCACAAGATAGTTCAGCAAAGAAAATTGTCTCAGTTTATTTTTTTCCTTTTCTTAAAACCTAAACATTCAACTTGAGTAACTTGCATTTAGTGTTATTTACTCACAGCCTTGGTAACAGACTCCACGAACAGCCCCACAGGCTGGCTGAGCATGATTTCATATATAGTTTCATATATAGTTTCCAGGTTTGGTTGCTCCATCACCTTCCCAAGTATTGAGGTGAGGCTGACCAGCCTGTAGTTCCCTGATACTCCTTCTTTTCCTTTTTTGAATGTAGGAATGAAGTTTGCTTTCTTTCGGTTCTTAGAAATCTCTCCCATCTGCCACCTTTGTCAGCACTCATGGATGCATTCTATGCAGCCCAATGGATTTATGTATGTCCAGTTTGTCAAAGAGTAAACGTGGTCCTCCTCTGCTAAGAATGAGTTTTCTTTGCTCCAGACATTCCTTCTGGTCTCAGGAACCTGGGATTTCTGAAAGCTGGTGTTGCTAGTAAAGACTGAATTGAAGAAAGTATTGAGTGCCTCAGCTCTTTCTATATCATTTGTCACAAAGTTCCCTGCCTCATTCAGCAATGTCATTCCTTAGTCTTTTTCTTTTTGCTGTTTATGTACATGTAGATCCTTTCTTACTGCCCTTCACATCCCTTAACAGACTCAACTCCAGGTTGGCCTTGACTTTCCTAACCCTGCAAGATCAAAAAACATCTTCATGCTGCTAAGTCATCTGCTCCTGCTTTCACATCTTGTGCACTTCCTTTTCATGTCTGATTTCAGATAAGAGCTGCTTGTTTATTTATGCAGACCTCCTGCCATCTTTGCTGTTTTTTTTTTTCTTTCCATCACTTTCCTGTCATTCATAAAGAAGTTTGGAGCAGGCCAAGCCATGGTGATACAAGGAAAGACCAACAGGTGACACTTTTGGAAGTGATTACACAAAAACATGAATTTAAGAATGCCAGGGACCCTTGAGGATTAATCCTCTAAGCTTTGCCCATGGGTTGAATATGAGCTGCAAAAGTACAGTAGAGGTCTTTACACGTGCACTTTGCAGCATATTACAAAAGGGAATCAGTTTCTCCTATCACAACAACAGGCTGCACCGACTTAAGCTGAATAAGCTGATTTG